AGTCACGCCACTGCCCTGCATTAATTAGGAATTTTAAAAAATTGTTTTGCTAACTTCAAACAAGAATAAGATCAGCGATGTTTGTTGTTTTGAAAAACGGAGGCATTTTAGGGCTGTATAAAGTCGTAAATTAGCCCAAGGTTAAACACTGTTGCAAAGAAAGATTTTGGAGCCGTTAAAGTAACCGAAGAAGTCGAAGAAATGTACGGTTGAGCTGTCTGTAGATCAAACTAGCCTGGCAGTCTTGAGAGGTTGCTAACCGATCAGTACGAACAGAAATCGTATACGACCGCTTGTTTACTCCGGTTCTCGTCTTGTTTGTCGCCCTGAACACCATTTAGCTACATAAGGTTTTTTGTGCAATCAAACCGAAAGGTGAGTTTATATGTATGAAGGTTTCAATTCAACTTACCAGGTACTTACAAAGTTTCATAAAGTTTGTACAAAAAGTTTGTTTTGCTTTCGGAAAAAAGGATCAGAAAAACATTCAGTACTTGTCAAGAGAAAACTACCTTGATTAATGTGTTTATTTTTAATAAACTAGACTTTCAAAGACTGCTGTTGCCAATCAACCTTGAGAGCATATGTCTTCGAGCTTTTTTTTCCTCTGCTTAAATCTGCGTTCCGTAAAAATCCCAGCACTGACACTGTGTTATTAAAAGTTGAAAAACGACCTGTTAATGAATATGAATAATGGTTATGTATCGCTTCTTGTTTTGCTAGACCATAAGTGCCGCATTTGATACGGTAGATCACGAGATCCTAATACATAGACTGCACACAGAGTTTGGCCTTGGAGGCGCAGTTCTTTCGTGGTTCGTTTCGTATGTAACCCATCGATCACAGTGAGTTCCTGTTGAAGGCATGGTGTCTGATGTCTTTGATCTGTATTCTGGAGTTTCTCAAGGGCCCTGTCTTGGCCCTCTACTGTTTTCGATCTATGCCTGCAAGATATCTGATGCTATTATTCATTCAAAATATGATTCATCATAACCAGCTATTGTCGACCAAATTTGGAGGAATTTTGCGATATGTGAAAAATGACGTCAATCGTGCAGCAAAAATGCCAGATTATTGAAGCGTTAACCGAGAAGACCTGGGGACGAGGCTGAATTGCTTTGGTAGTGACTGCAAAACAGAGGAACATTTCACTCGTTTCACGAGGAAAAAGTAGGCGATTTATTGGCTAAAAACATAGCAAGAATAACTAGAAGACAACTCGACGGACGACATCTGCTTTCACAGTAAACTCTGTTAAAGCCTTAACAAATTCAAAGAATTAGCGTTTATAGATAGCCTTTATTTTAAAAACTATGACGGGTTTTTAAAGCTACATGAGCTTGTGGGTCGCTTGAGTTTAGCTAACTATTTAAATAGGAGTTTTAAATTTTACAGACAACAAGTCAGACTATATACTAGAAATATTTACACATGTGAAATTGCCTACACAATGACAATCTTTTCTAAAACTACAAGTAGATGCGGATGTTATCTTAAAACTGCGCCTGAGGTTACGATATTGAATATTATTTATTATTTGCCACTAAAGCACCGTACATAGCTGTAGCTCACTACGTTCCATAGGACTGAGCCTCTATACGCGACTGAGTTTTTTATGTGGCGCCTAGTGTTGAAAGGCAGAACTATTAGAGAAACGCGTGCCCGGGTTGAATGATTTGTGGCCTGTTCCTTTAATTTGTAATACAATCGATTAGTGTCACAGGTATAAATATATCAAATTTATAATACGTAGATTGGGCCATTGGGCCGGGTGTAAGTCTTAGGATCAATCTTAGCAGCTGGGCACACAACCTTATATAAAAACAGTAACAGAATATAATATACAAGACCTTATATATTCCACTGCACCAACATTACCCTATTTTACTTGCTGTGTCACTAAATAACGCAATTTAATTAAAATAGCTCATTACCAAAAGTCCTTCTCACGAACGCCTTCTTTAACACTTAAAAGTTATGTAAAAAGTTTTTGTTGTCTTTTGTGTATGACTTACAGAAGGAAGCCATATCTTTGGGTAAATCAAAATTATAAGTCTCGCAGCCCTGCAATGAAGCCGTTCCAGAGCCTGATATAAGTCAGAGTTTCAGCAAGAACCCCACAGTATAAGACCATAGGTCACTGAGGGAAAATGACGAACGCTCCTGGGGAGAAATTGTGATTTCTTAAGTAAATCTAGTTTTTTAACAAAGGACTTTTTGAGTTCAAGCACATGCGGAAACCAGGCTAGTTTCTCGTCGACAGGCTCGATACAGACGCCTGGAACGGCTCAGCCGTTCTTCCCGCCTAACCCGGCGGGAATTTCGCCTTTGGAGCGACTTTGGAATGGCTTTCAGATTCAGACGCCCAACTTTTCAGGAATCCGGATTCCGGAATTCGGGGAATTTTGGTATGTGGAATCCGGAATCCTGGGTTTTGGAATCCGGAATACTGCTCAAAGAATCTAGAATCCCACTAACGATTGGAATCCACAATCCAGGTTCCACTGAAATCCAGTATCTGGAATACGCAGTCAATGGAGTGGGATCCCGAATCCAAGACTGTATTGGATTCCAGCAGTAGTAAATCCACTTCTAAAGAAAGCTGGATTGGAGCCCGTTCTCAAGAAATATAGGTCTGTCAGAAGAGGACGGACGGAAAAAAAATGGCGTCAATTTGTTTTTTACAATAACAAAAGCTCCAAAAAGTCAAATATTGCCGATAAAAATGAAGACAAAACACAGGTAAGTTTATGACCTTAGCTTTTTAAACTAGCGCAATGTTATTGTCAATAACTTTTCTCGCTTGGTGATTGGCTACTGATAACAAGTAACGGAGTTTCAGTGCCGAAAAAATTTGATCGGTTGAGTCACGCCACTGCCCTGCATTAATTAGGAATTTTAAAAAATTGTTTTGCTAACTTCAAACAAGAATAAGATCAGCGATGTTTGTTGTTTTGAAAAACGGAGGCATTTTAGGGCTGTATAAAGTCGTAAATTAGCCCAAGGTTAAACACTGTTGCAAAGAAAGATTTTGGAGCCGTTAAAGTAACCGAAGAAGTCGAAGAAATGTACGGTTGAGCTGTCTGTAGATCAAACTAGCCTGGCAGTCTTGAGAGGTTGCTAACCGATCAGTACGAACAGAAATCGTATACGACCGCTTGTTTACTCCGGTTCTCGTCTTGTTTGTCGCCCTGAACACCATTTAGCTACATAAGGTTTTTTGTGCAATCAAACCGAAAGGTGAGTTTATATGTATGAAGGTTTCAATTCAACTTACCAGGTACTTACAAAGTTTCATAAAGTTTGTACAAAAAGTTTGTTTTGCTTTCGGAAAAAAGGATCAGAAAAACATTCAGTACTTGTCAAGAGAAAACTACCTTGATTAATGTGTTTATTTTTAATAAACTAGACTTTCAAAGACTGCTGTTGCCAATCAACCTTGAGAGCATATGTCTTCGAGCTTTTTTTTCCTCTGCTTAAATCTGCGTTCCGTAAAAATCCCAGCACTGACACTGTGTTATTAAAAGTTGAAAAACGACCTGTTAATGAATATGAATAATGGTTATGTATCGCTTCTTGTTTTGCTAGACCATAAGTGCCGCATTTGATACGGTAGATCACGAGATCCTAATACATAGACTGCACACAGAGTTTGGCCTTGGAGGCGCAGTTCTTTCGTGGTTCGTTTCGTATGTAACCCATCGATCACAGTGAGTTCCTGTTGAAGGCATGGTGTCTGATGTCTTTGATCTGTATTCTGGAGTTTCTCAAGGGCCCTGTCTTGGCCCTCTACTGTTTTCGATCTATGCCTGCAAGATATCTGATGCTATTATTCATTCAAAATATGATTCATCATAACCAGCTATTGTCGACCAAATTTGGAGGAATTTTGCGATATGTGAAAAATGACGTCAATCGTGCAGCAAAAATGCCAGATTATTGAAGCGTTAACCGAGAAGACCTGGGGACGAGGCTGAATTGCTTTGGTAGTGACTGCAAAACAGAGGAACATTTCACTCGTTTCACGAGGAAAAAGTAGGCGATTTATTGGCTAAAAACATAGCAAGAATAACTAGAAGACAACTCGACGGACGACATCTGCTATTTGGAGAATATTTGCGGACCTGAACAACCCTTTATCGCCTGAATTTGCCGATAAACATGTAACATCGAAGATGAACCTAAGACTATGGGGATGGAGGTAAGCATGCTTTAGCTTGTTTTTAAACTAGCAATTATTTTGAATGAATAATAAAACAATATTAGTAAAAACAGTATTGAATTCGGCTTTCGTATCATTTGAAAAACTATGAAGATCTCAGAAGCTGTTAACACCCTCCTCGACCTCCATAATTCTTCAGATGATACTCAGTCTCATTCAAAGACAATCATAATTGTTAATTATTATTAATCCCTTACTTGGGGCGATTTTCATGTGCCGAAATTACTATAACGTATTTTGCAAGCACATTAACTCAGAGAGCATTATTTTCCTTTTGAATTTAGTTTGACTGGAATTACAATGTAAGATCTGCGTCTGAATCAATTTAGCCGGTCTTTATTTTGGGCAGATCCGGTTTCCCTGCATTTGTTACTTAAAGTTAAATTCATAAGATACTTTTTTCATTGTATACACGAACACCACTGACTAGGTGAAACCTCAAAATACATAAAAACAAAAAAGTGTGATTATGAAAGGAATAATAAAAGTCTTTTTGGAAAACGTACACGATGTTTGCTAATTGCTTAAGAGAATTTTAAGCAAGTCAGCGCTGGCTTTCTTTCAAACGGAACATTGTTACCTAAGAGTCACAGATCAGAGATCAAAATTACAAGTTCAGTGTTCTTTAGTGGTGTAAGGTTCTTGCTCAAGAATTAAATTGGACAGTACATTGTAATATTCAAGAGTGGCGTCACTTTCAAGCTCCTTGCCTTCAAACATAAGACGTTGCTGCTCAGGTAAAATTCCTTCTTGGTTCTGAATTAATTGTTTCATGCCCTCAACTGTACACCCCGGATATAGGGGTAAAGAAATCGTCTTTCCACTCTGCAATTTTACGAATATCAGGGATAGCAAGAATTAAGAGAGTGGATTCATGCTGGATGTTGTAGTCGCTCAGAATGCCATAATTTTTCAGTGGCTTGTTATTAAAAAAGAGAATTTGTTGGTCTGGCGGAAGCCCCAATATCTCTTGAATTCTCGTCTTCACACTGTCAATGGAATCCTTTGGTTTAACTTCCAACTTGATCGTTTTGCCAGTCATTGTTTGCACGGAAATGGCCATGGGTGGCTTTTGCGGCAGCCGAAGTCTAACAACCAAATGCACAAGAGAGTAATGGGTCGATTCCTCGTTGACGCCATAGTCGCTCAATGTGCAGTGGTCTTCGAGGTTCTTCCAACGAAAGATTAGACGCTGTTGGCTAGGGGGAAACCCTTGCGTCTCAGAAATTTTAATCTTCATCTCCTTGACAGAATCACTTGGTCTGACTTTTAACATGATAATTTCCCCAGACATTGCCTTAATGGTGATCTGCTGTTCACAATCAACTAGAAAAACAAAAATGAGAGTGTTAAGTAACGGGTTATTGACCTGGACCTGCACCACGATAGGCTCATTATCGCTAACAGGATTAAAATTTAAACTAACGATTGTATTTACCGTACCATACATCTTGTTAGACTACCACTATCAGTACCATGTGTTAACATAACTGGTTCTGGGAATAAAATTGCAAACATTCTTTAAGCGAACCAGAAGACTTTGTACGAATGGCTTTGTCGTAGAGAGGTGGAGGGGGAAGAGGGAATAGGGATAAGGCAGTACGAAAGATAAATTTGAAAAAGCGAACGTGGCAGCGGAAATTGTATCACCCATTGCCACCTTCCCGCGCCCTAACCCCGCGCCTCCTCCACTCCATGTTATAATCAAATGATCAATACTCAACATTTACATATGCATTAAAAAATTGCTTTGGCAATTGGGCATTTGGCATTGGGCTCTCGGAACTCAGTGCAATGACATTTGATTGAGAGACCACCGAAGATAGCTTCCCTGTGTGCAATTGCCCAATGCCCAAAGCACTCTTTATTGAATCCGACGTCTATCTCGTTGTTCAGCCGGTTTACCTCAGGATACTTCATTTGACGATTCTTGAGTTTAATCTTGAATACTGGTAGGCATATTTGAGATTCAAATATATTTCAACTAAAACAACGAAGGTTTCCTATATTTCACAGTTGCAAACCTAAACAAACAACTACTCCGCCGAAGCGACGGAGATTGAAACTACGAAGTCAAATCTCCAGGACGGTGCACAGCTGTTATTCTCAGCTTGGACTGAGTATACGTCCCTTTTTTTACCGTGCTGAGCAAGGTAAGCCTTTCCTAACTTTCAGGATGGTCTTCAAATAAGGAGCCAGAAGAAAATCTCTTGATCGTTAAAAGTGCCGGATCGGCTGCAACGCTATCTTAGTTAGAGCTTACTTCTCAAATACCACGAAACCAGAAAGCAGCCTCTTATGAGTGTTACGTAAAACGGCGATTGTGTTTGTTCAAACGGCTGACGATTATATGAACAAAGACAAGCTGTATCATGCCGTTTTGTTTGAGTGGTGTAGGAGCTGCTCGGAAGGTCTCTTAGCCCCTAATTGGTCGCAATGACATGTTATCTTCTAATTGTTTTAGTATTGTTTGGGGTCAGGGAAACTCACCATTGGTGACTTCTCTTCCGAGTACTGCTACATGACCCTTTTGTTTCTCGTTGTTGGTTTGATGTCGTTTTTGTTGTTTTAATGTCTTCCGATCAATCAGGATCGTCCACATACATAATGCCCATGCATCAGAATTTTTGGATATCACAGCTCAATGAAACAAGTAGGCTGAGCACGATCGTCCGGGTGAACATATAGTCCTGAACAGGACTGTTGTTGACTGTGACTGACAGTGACAGTTGACGCGTATGTTTCAGGGATGTTGTACGTAAGGCTGCAGTATACGTGCGATAGTTTTAGAGGTGCCTTTGATGTACGGTATAGTCTCCGTCGTAACAGGGCCAGAGTTAAAGTTGGTCTTGAGGGTTGGAATTGGCGTTACTCTGAGTGCTACAAAGTCCACGTTGTAGTTGCTTTACTAAAACGTTGTTTCATTGATCAGTCTCGTTTTGTAGGCTGTCAGGCAAGTCACAAGCTAGTTGCTAGTTGTGGTCGTCTCTTCAAAGTCCGTATAGTTATAGCTTTGTGAGAGGTCGGGTTGTAAGAGGACTGGTCAATAACCAGAGTTTAATACCATCAGTTGACTAACCTGGGACCAGGCTCGCAGTGGAGAAAAAAGCAAAAACAAAAATAAGGAAAGTATCGGCGAGCGATGCGATCCCAAGAGTGGTCTGGGGTAGGGGAAAAGGGCGCCACCCTTTTCACTCCCCATATTTTCCTTTTTGCCTTAATGCAGAGCCTGGTCCCAGGCTATCAACATACGCGATACAACTCACTTTGACTCTGAAGGTGACTACCGTACAGGTTGTGGAAACGTTAGTCACTGTCAACAACACCAGTCCTATTCAGGACTACGTTCACCTACTAGCAGACGATCATGCTCAAGCTACTTAGGAAGATATGACTCCTATGTTCAAACCTTTCACAAATCAATGAAACGAGCCGTAAAATATCAGCTGCCTGTTGAAGACTTTGTTAAATAATTTTATCGTACCCACCTTCTTGTTTACAAAAATACTCTCGGCAAGTTCTGTATTGTTCTTCCTCGATTGTTGTTGTTAGTTTCACTTCAGTTAGACCAAGCTTCTTCAGAATGTCCTCTGTGACTAGGAATGCCTGAACAACTTTACCTAAATTGCCTGTACAATAGTCTTGCCACAGTTCATCAAGAATCTCCAACGAAGTACACTCCAGTATAATTTTCAAGCTTCCAGGCTTGTTATCAACAACAATCCCTTGGCGAACCTTTTCCATATATACTATAAAAGCATTAAACTCCTCCGGTGTTGATGGCTTTATGCTTTTTAAGTCAACACGTCTTGTCGGGCGGGAAATCCTTCCTTTCGTACATTTTGTCCCTGAAAATTCGTTCTAGCGGACGGTTCTTGCAGAATTAGCGTTCCAGGTGCATCTGCGCCCCCTTGCATTACACCTTGGGATTCCTGTGGTGTTTCTATCATTCCTGTAGCTCCTCGTTGTGTACCACGTCCATGAATAGCCAAGCAATCAATCAATAGTGTAAGCAGAGCTAGTGACAAAAGTGTGTTAAATGAATCTAGGTGCCCAAATCGCGAGATCTTTCCCTTCCTGTCCACAAATGTTAGAATCGTATATGTTCATTATTTAGTTTGTTTAGTAGTCTCTCAAGTATTTTAAGGTTTAGGACTAAGGGGCTTACCTGTGGAAAATGATTTAATGACTATAACTTTGGCATGGATGATGGCGCTGAATCAAAATTTGGCACACATAAAGAACTCATCGTCCTTAATATTTTAAGGTAAAAATATTGGTTAATAAGTCACGTGATATGTCACATGACCATTTTACTAAAAATCGTGAATTATTGACCAGTTGGTGGCCGCTTTAAAAAGAGAAATCGAGCGATAACATTTTTCTAATTCATATTAAATATTTCTAACAATTTACGCTTGAAATGACCGTCCATTGCATTTCAATAAAAAATTATGAGGGAAAACACAATTTTGAATGCCTAAATTCAATCTTGAATCGCTTAAATCTTTAACTTTAAACTTTTTGCACATTCATTCCAAACGTAGAAAGTTAGGTACGTTTATCTTCTTTCAGAAATGCAAATTTGTTTATCCAAACAAAGTTAATTCACCACCAATTCGCCAATTTCCTTCATTTTCAATATTTGGTCACGTGACATGTCACGTGACCACAATTAAACTTTAACTCACAAGAAAACCTCATGATTTACTTTTAGGGAAAAAATACATTTTGTTCTAGGCCTCCTAGTGAGAGATATTGCCAATTATTCATATGCTCCAAACACACCTTAGATCCAGGCCTTAAACCTCTTGAGCTTGTCACAGAGATAACAATTAACGATATTCGAATATTCAGACGCACACCATCCCGACCATAACACCAGCGCTAATTCTCACAAAATTGTAATTAAGTCGTGGAACATGTAGTGACTCAAGCGATAGGTTTTTGATGTGCATTTTGATTATTCATCATTTACAAGTTTGTGGAAAAATCTATAACAAAGTCTGTGCAAGATGTATATATATGTTGTGGTTCAATTTTATCGTTGGTTCAAATTTTCTTTTCTTTTATTTTTGGGTATGGTAATGTATGATAATAACATGATAATGAGTTTGAAACAAAAGAAAAGAAGATTTGAACCAAGGATAAAATTGAACCACAACATATACAAACTCTAAAGACCTTGTCAGTTCAATAATTCAACGAGGACAGACGGCAAATTCAGTGTTGTTGCTAGAAATTTAGTCGTAACTGTTCATCACTCAAGGGTACCTGCCTGGAATGCTTTCATCTCAACAATTGGTTTCGGCTCCATTAAATCCTATACCAATTGTAGAACATTTCAGGAGGAACCACCTACGAGGTGAGCACAGTTAAGCTTTCAAGCCCCATGAAAACAGACGCAACGTTGATGGTCAACAACTACCAACATTATGGATGTTACATGTTCCGTCCTTTTACACACCCTGCTGCAGGTTATTACGTATTGTTGAGAGTTGTTTCGCAAAGTTTGAAACCGGTAGGACTTTTGAGCCAACAACTCTCAACATTTCTTTTGTTCCATGATTGACTAAGCGTAGCGCAACAATGATAGATTCGTTCGCAGTCGCAGAGCTCTTTCCATTCTCGACCCCAGTGCTTACGCTTCTGACTCTGCGCGTAAGCTCTCAGAAACTTTGCGGCGGCGTAGCCACAATTGTGAATAAATTTGGAAGAACTTTGCGATTAATCAAACGATGACGTCAAAAACGCAGCACAGTTGCAGATTAATGCACCGTTAACCGAGAAGACCTGGAGACGAGGTTGAGTTGTTTTGTTTGTGAAAACAAAAATGGCGGAACGTTTTGCGGAACATTCTACTCGTTTCACGACGAACTATTGTCTAAACACATAGCAAAAAGACAACTCGATGGACAATTAACATCTGCTATTTGGAGTAAATTTTAAAGACCTGAACAGCCCTTTATCTTCTAAACATCTACTATCGAGGTGAACTTGACATCGACGAAAGTAAAGCATGTTTTAGTTTTGTTTTAAACTAGGAATTATTTTGAATGAATAATAAAACAATTAAAAAATTAATGAATTCGGCTTTCGTTGAATATGAAGAATCATTCATTAATTGCTAAATGTGTCATGCTTCTTAAATTATAGCTGGTAAAAAAGTTGGTGCATTTTTTTTTATTTTTCAGATTCAACTCTTTTTTTCTTGGTCAATAGGCAATTGGCACTAAGAGGTCATGTGACTTCGTTTTTATGAAAATGAAAGTTATATGATTTTGCCTACGAAAAACGATTTGTGGGTCACATCTTAAACAAAATAATAGTGATTTGGTTTTTCAAATCCGCACCATTTTCTTAAAACAAGTAAGTTTTATCTGGTCACGTGACCAAAATGTGATTTTTGAAATGATGAATTACCTCTTTCTGAAAGCAAATTTTGCACTTAAACTTCAAGCAAATGTTGAAAGGATGATGTGGTAAAGTTTAAAGCACATCTGAGCGTAACTATTAAACGTTTAACAAGATATAAGCAAAAAGTAGTTTTGATCGCCATGTTGGAGGGCAAGAGTATGCCCGCTTAAAGCACGCTTACACACAACCTACACAAACTGCATGGAAAGGATCCCTCCATGTAATCTCAATTACTTTGTATCTAATATGAATTTGAGGCTGTATGGCGATGATACAACTAAATATGCCTCGGATCCCTTCCCAGTGGTCTTGCAGTATGTTCATTCGGATCTCAGCGTACGATCAAGCTCGTTTGAATTGAATTATATTATTTAAAGATTAATGCAGCAAAGTCGCAAGCAGTTGCCACTGGGCCATCGTCATATGAATATGACGATGGCTGCTTTTATACTAAGCACGCATTAACCGTCGTGACGAACTTGGGCAAACATCTATAGTTCGTCTGGTTATGCGTCACGAGTATGAAGACGGGTACAAGACGCATTATTCGTCTGGACGAACTATCTCTCTGGTAGTTCGTCTGGACGCATAATGCGTCTTGTGCCCGTCTTTATGCTTGAGACGCCTAACCAGACGAGCTATAGATGTTTGCCCAAGTTCGTCACGACGGTTAATGCGTGCTTAGTATAAAAGCAGCTATTGTCATATTCATATGACGATGGCCCAGTGGCAACTGCTTGCGACTTTGTTGCAGACGAATAATGTGTCCTCAGTATAAAAACGGCCATCGTAGAGACACAAGATACACTTACGATTTTAGGAATGATTCTGGATAGCAAATTAAATTTCAAAGTGCACATAAAAAACAGCTTAAATTCAAATTAAAAGATGTAACGGTCGTCTCTATAATTCGTATGTGCTTCCGCAGTAGAATATTGTAGTCCTCTTCTTTTTGGTATTGTTAATGTCGAGGCTAATAAAATGGAGAACACTAAATATTACTGCTATTATTTATTAAGATTTGTTTTAAACTATTCGAAGTCTGTGTCAAGTCGTTAGAACAACATCGACAGCTTCAATCGTTAATGATGATGCGAAACAAATGTTTGTGTAATCAGGACGCACAGTATATTGGTGGATTTTTAGCTTTAAGAATGTTTCGTATAATTTACGTGGGCGTGAAACAAGGATTGATCGGCCATCTTTTAGCAGGGGCACCCAACGACAATTTTCGGAAAAATATCTGTTCGGAAGACGATTTGAGATCTAGAAGTTTCGGAACATTTGTTGTAAAATTTCTTGCTTGCCTGCTACTCCTAGGATTTTCGAACATCTAAAAAATGGTAAAATTGCCCATTTTCAACGGATTTTTACCCTAAAAAGGTCACCTAAAATTTTCGGGAGTGTAAGTTTTGATCCCTATAATTTTCGGATCACTAGACTTTCAGCTAGGAAATCCGAACAGATGAAAAATTTATAGGGGATAAAAATATGCCCATATCCACTGTTTAAATACTAAAACACGTTTAACAATGCCATGTTTAAGTGGTTTTTAACTATATTCTCGTTGGGTACCCCTGTTTTAATTTAGAATGCATGCATAAATCTTTTACCTTTTTAGCTAGCAAACTGTGGAATACTTTACTGCCAATAATTAGAGAATCCAATATGTAAGAACTTTTAAGCGGTCTCTTGAAATCTTCATGTCTAAAAGCGTTTAAATTCTATAAGGAATTTAAATTTCATCTGTCAATATCATTTGTAAATATTATCTGTAAATATTAGTTGTAAATATTAGCGTATTAGATTTTTAGATTGCTCTTTATTACATGATTAGTTTTCATTGATTGCTTTTATTCTTTAACATTTATTTTTTTATACACTTACAAGTTTTAACGAGCATATGTGAGCTCCTAGGTGTTACAATAAACATTTCACGTTGCTTGGCAGTCGTCAACTCAAGACGACGATTTTGTACCTTAATAATTCAACCCCAGAAAAACTCGTCCACATTTGCCATATCTAACAAAGCGATATTATAGCGATGAAGCTTGAAACAGCGTGCGAGTGCGAGTGTCGTTTTCGCTACCGTCGCCGTCGTGGCTACTTAGTTCCCTTTTTATTCCCGTCCATACGCCTTAAAAATATAAAATCCCACGTTACGCTCCCTAGTTGACAAGAGGCGTGTGGACTCATTTGGTTTCGCGACTGCCGTGAGTCTACCATTTGGTGCAAAAATAGTGTTGTACTATGAATTGAGTATTTAACTTACCCCCAGAAGACTTTGGGGGTAAACGGTTTTCTCTCTATATACAGGTTTACAATGGTTTATAAAGGTTTAAACCTATATAGAGAGAGAAAACCGTTTACATAAAAACCCATAAAACGGCCATAAATCGGCCCGTGGACCACACAGGAGAGACGTAACACACATTTTAAGTAAGGTAAGCTGTTTTTTATTGAAATCCTTTCATTTTCTTAGGTTACAGAAACGATAGGTTTTTTCCCATACAAATACTCATATTTCGAATGTTTCGCAACAATGCCGATGCTCATATTTCGAGCTTGGGCTACCTGTGCTGTGTCTGGAAGTTTGTTTCGCTGTTTGTTAGCAGTTCCCAGTCCCCGCCGGGTGGCATTCTATGAAGCTAAGTGAAAGCGCTGAGAAAGTGTATGATATGCGATTCTTTCTGATCACGCTTTAGAAGCAAATGGTGATAGACTTGTTATAGAGTTTCTTCGCATTCTTGAAGAATCTGCAACCTCTTGGTTAGACATTCGTGAGTGTTACTGATGTACGCTTGGGTGAAGTCGAAAGTAGGAAGCGAACGCGAGGGACAGTTGAATAACGAAACTACGTCGGCAACGGCAACGGGAACGTCAAAAACAATAACTCTGCACGAGCATCACGCTTTATTGTTTATTTCTTTGCCGTCCCTGCAGAACTGCAACGTGAAATGACCAAATTTTAAGTTTACTTAAAGAACGGGAACGGCAAGGCGATAAATCTACCATCCTTGTCCGAATTCGGACGCTTTCTCCTCTGTTCACCTCCAATATAAATTCCCTTCTTTTAAGCATCTGGGCAACTTAGCATAATCGCGAAAACGTTTGAAAGCATGCGAAGTCTGTTTTTTGACGATGTTTTCATGCACGTCGACGTTGTCGGATCATAAGGTAACGCAGCCGGTAAGTTACTGATTTGCCTTCGGCTCGTGATTTACAAGCTTTTCTCGTGTTCTCCCAACATCGCGCGTGGGTTATCACGCCGGTAAACCCATAGAAAGTGTGGTCTATTGCTTAAATAACAAATCCAACCTGATTTTGGAGTATGCATTTTATATACAACCTTTCACTATAGTGTTTATTGAAAAAACATACGAATAATATATTATCGAGATATACAGTCGAACCTCCATATGCGACCACCTCTCGTAAGCGACCACCTCCCATAAACGACCGCCAATCCAAAACACCAAAATTTCCCCAGTCATTTAAGCCTTACAGTTGGAACCTCTAGTAAACGACCACCTCCTGTAAGCGACCGCGACCACTTTTTGGGCCTAATGATTTTCCATTGTTTTTAGCCTCTTGTAAGCGACCACTTGACACATTCTCTGATCTCTATGTTCGCTCAGGTGTGCACTATGCTACTTAGAATATACGAAGAACTTTAGTGACAACATGGAACTACACGTCTTAACTTAGACATTACATACAATAAATTATCTTCCATCAAGTAGATGTGCCTGGAACTCTTCTCCGAAAATACCACCTGTGGTTCGATTCTTGTAAACGACCACCTCCTGTAAGCGACCACTCAGTCTTTGCATTTTGGGTGGTCGCTTACGGGAGGTTCGACTGTATTTATGCTTGGTGATTAATATTCATTGCTTGCACTATTTTCCCTATGTGTTTGTTTTACATGAAACTAATTCTAAAAATAACGTAGCAAGGTTTGGATACCAGAACCCACTGGCGTCAACAACCCTGCTGAACTCCACGATATCAAAGGGTTTTTTTTGTTTCATTTTTGTACCATAGAAACTGTTTGAATACGTTTTTGCAAATCTGCGTAAATGAATGTATGTAATCAAAGCAAAATACAATTTTTCCTGCTACCATGATCTTCCTCCAAGGTCAAAATAGAGTTGCTCTGAATGTTGCATTCACCCACAGAGCAGCTATCTTCGAGTTTTTTGCCGTCAAACATAAGACGTTGTCGATCAGGCAATATGCCTTCTTTGACGTGAATTTTGTCCTTCACATCTCTGATTGTATCGGTAGATTTAAGTTCCAAAAGAAGCAGTTTCCCAGTTGACATCTTCAAGCGAACATCGATTTTGAGAATCAAGTCCAGAGTTGATGATTTTTGGGAAATTCTGTAATCATTTAGGGTGCCACTATCTTCAAGTTCGATGCCGGCAAAGATAAGGCACTGTTGATCAGGCGGAATTCCTTCTTTGTCCTGAATTAGCAGTTTTACGGTTTTAATGGAATAATTTGGTTCAACTTCTAAAGTTATCGTCTTCTTTACGGGTAGTACGTTAACAAAAATTTGCATACCGCCGCGAAGTCTCATAACTAAATGCAATATTGATTCCTTCCGGATGTTGTAGTCACCCAAGGTACGGCCATCTTCCAATTGCTTGCCGGCAAAAATGAGACGTTGTTGATCTGGAGATATCCTCTCTAAATCCTGGATTTTAGTCTTCACATTTTCAATAGTATCACTTGGTTCAACTGCTAAAGTAACTATTTTTCCAGTCAATGTCCGTACGAAGATTTGCATTCCACCACGAAGTCTTAGCAGTAAAAGCAATATTGATTCCTTACCGATGTTGTAGTCACTCAAAGTGTGGCCATGTTGTAATTGCTTGCCGGCAAAAATGAGGCGTTGTTGATCTGGCGGAATTCCCCAGGCATCCTGAATTTTATACTTCACATTTTTAATAGTATCACTCGGTTCAGTTGCCAAAGTAATTGTTCTTCCATCCACTGTTTTTACAAAGATTTGCATACCACCATGCAGGCGTATGTGTCGCGGCTTTAAACCTACTTGAACATCCCGCGTCCCTCGTCTGCTGTCTCCCTGCTCCTGATGGCCTTCCGTAAATGCCGCTGGGGATTTTGCCTTTACTGGAAGCCCTAAAAGAAACCAAATTAAAGTTTACCTCTGACTGAGTTTACCTGCCAATTAATCTGAAAAGCGAAAAGAGTCCTCACGTAAACGTGATAATTATGACGCATTAATATTACATTCATGTGTTGGGGAGTCTTGGTATGTTTCTAACCTGTTTCAGATCGAGACAAGGTCATGACCGAAAGAAATAGGGTGTCACGGGCATGCTGCAGTCTTGTTGTGATTTGTTTTTTACCTCGTGTTATGTTTTCAAATAGTTCCTCCCGCACGCAAATGAATTACTTTGTTATGCTCTAAAATGATATAAAAGAAAGATTTTTACGTCTTTCGTTGAACGTTGCAAAGCAGTATTCTAACAAACCTAGACGCAAAAAACTACTTTGAGTGGTGTTAAAACAAGGCCATTAGAAGCAACCATTAACATAAAATGCAAACAAGATGTGCAAGAGTTTACTGTCTATAGACTTTCAAACCATTTTGTGAACGATAACTTAAACAGGGTTCGTACCCTTTTTGGAACAAAAAATTCAAGGACTTTCAAGGACACATTTCCCATTTCAAAGGACTCCAGTGCAAAAAAGAGCCTTGAGGCTATATCTTCTTTAGTTCTTTCACAACATGAGTAATTTTATCCCGAAGGTTTTTCTGTGTTTGCTCGTTTCTCTTTGGATTTCTACTTAAACTATAAAGTTAGCATTGAAATTCAAGGACTTTCCAGCACCGACTGCAGTTTTCAAGGCCTTTATTTTATTTTAAAATTCAAGGACTTTCAAGGTGCGCGCGAACCCTGTAACTAGCTACCCTGGATCAAGAGGTTTGTATAGGTAATAGCATGATTTGTAGTGATATTTGGCATAAATACCACGAGTGATATTTCGAAATTGGCACAATTGAGACAATTTTGAAATATCACGATTGGTATTTATGCCAAATATAACGTACAAATCATGCTATTATTTGTTCACACTACCACCCGCAAAAGGTTTGTAATTTTCAAATTAAGCCGAAATACCAATGCTCCAAGCAAATCAGATTGTAGAAATTTCTCATGTAGTAGTATAATAATGGCAATTTTTCTCCGCGTTGAGAGAACGAGCCGCACCAAGCAACGAAAAAAACGAGAAAAATTTTGAACTTAACATTAACTTGTATTAATTTGTATAATCTTTCCTTTGAGAGCTTGTTTCGATTTGTTAACGTCGTTTGGACATAAAATATTTTATAACTTTTTCCCTTGTTGCCGCTTTGCGGTTGTGTCATGAATTGGTCGCTTTTGCGATATAGAGCACTCCGTTTGAATATTAAATAGGTTATAGAACTTCTCAGTATTGTTTGTTTTCCTTGTTCGTTTTTCTTCTTTCCTTGCATGCTCTCCTCGTGCAGTATTTGAATTCATTAACGAAGCTTGTTCGGTCAAACCGAAGATGGATGGATATTGGCCTCGTTCTTTTTTTGTGTGTGTTTTTACGGTCCTCGACTTCGTTTCGGTCCATAAAAATGCGAAAAAGAAATTGTCGCCACAGTAAGGGAATCCAAGACAGTGTTGGATTCAGGATTCCACGTCGTGGATTCCGGATTCCAAGTACTGGATTCCAGTCTTTGCCAGTGGAACTTGGATTCTGGATTCCAATCGTTTGTGGGATTCAGGATTCCTCGTCTGAGCTGTATTCCGGATTCCAAAACCCAAGATTCCAGATTCAATAAGCAAACAATTCACGGATTCCAGAATCCGGATTTCCTTACATGGGGCGGCAAATATCCAGCCATCTTGAACGAACAAGATTGGTCAATAACGCATATTTGTCGGCGTTCATCATTTAACAGACATCCCGTGCGTTTTACTATTTTCCGATAAGGCAGTCACCTCAGTCTGTTTTTAGAGTAACCCTTAAATATACGTACTTTATGTCTATTTTCGAAATTTCAAAGAGTGACACGCTCAGGTGCAATCTATTGAGACGCAGGTGGATGGTTTAAAGGTACAAAGTTTTTGAACTTTCTATTATTCTAAATCGTTTCTATAATCTTAGATTCAGTTCCGTTCAGTTTATTGGTTTTTTAATAATAAGAATAATGGAATTTATATAGCGCTTATACATCGCTGTTTTGCCATAAGGATATACAAAAAACAAGAAATATCCAAATATTTAAAAGCTAATGGCGAGGAAGCCCAAGGGAAACCACCGGGCTTATAAGGAATGGGCTCTCTCTATGTTAACTTATATACAGCAAAATATGAACCGTTGATAGAAAGGGGAAAGATGTATTTGATTCACTTATAGACCCCTTTAGTGAAGAATGGCTGATTCAGGCGTGTGCGCTGACAAAACACCATTTAGGTTATCTTCTTTTTGCACCTTTATGCAACTTTCTGTCGATTGACTTCTCTCGTGGGTTGGTCTTTTGTTATTAAAAAATGTAAGCTACATTTTGTAGCTTTAAACTCGACTTTGTTTCTCTTTCGTCTTCTCATTCAAAACTTTTCGATCCAAAGATTAGTAGGTTTGAAGTATGTTTTAAACTCGGTTACACCGTAACATGGGTGTCCTATGGGTGTATTATATAGATCATACCTACCTCCTGTTAAGCACTTTTGACAATCTCTGTAGTCTTTTTCGTCGATGGTCGTGCTCAGTTTTACCTCAGTTAGTCCGAGTTCTTTTAAAAGATCCTCGGTTACTAGGTATTGCTGGACCACTCGTCCAAGATTACCTATACAATAGTCTTGCCAAAGTTCTTCAAGGATCTCCAAAGAAGTGCATTCCACTGTGATTATCAAGCTTCCTGGGCTGCAGTCAACAATAATTACTTTTCGTACCTTTTCCATATACTCTATGAAACCATTAAAATCTTCTGGTGTTGATGGGTTTAAGTTGTTCAAGTACTTTGAGGCAATTAAACTCAGAATTTGCTGTGGGGAAGGAATGGCACCGTTTGTGACATTCCCGCTTAGGGAAGCGGTTGTGTTTGACACTTGTAACTGACTTGAGGTGACCGGTGCAACTGCACCTTCCTTGATTACTCCTTGGGATTCCTGTGGCTGCCCTATCATCACCGTAGCTCCTTGTTGTAGACCAGGTCCAGAAATGGTCTCGCAGTCAATCTTTAATCTAAGAAGAGCTAACGACATAAAAAAAAATCTGTTATTTTACTGTATTACAATTTATCTGGCAATAATCTGAAACTAAAAGGTCATATAAAGGGACGGTTAATCTCAAGAATCTTAAATTTTTTAAAAAAATCTATCGAGCGGTTTAACAATTATTCGCTAATTTGTTAAAGTGTGGACCAAAATGTTTACAAAATCACTAACGAACTAACAAGAGTGCCTCGATACATACTAATCAAATCCTTCTTTTTAGTATCGGCTGGTCGCTACCTCAATGATTTTTGACAAACGTTTATAAAAAGATTGAAACTACAATGAGGTGAAATTGTATGTCAAAAGCGCTTCGTTTTTTACAGATAACAGCCGAACATCAAGATTGTCCATTTTGTACCTTATTTCTAACCACAAAAACCTCATCCAAAAATATCTCGATAACGCTCTTACAGATTTCGGTTAAATTTCACGAACGTCGAGCTATAGGAGGAAAAAGCTCCCGTGAACAATTTTGGAAGAACATTTCCCAGTGCCGAGAAATACTGCTAGTGAAATAGGCAATGGTGACATTTCGTTGCTACGACAACTCCGATGTCATTGCAACCCTGATCATAACAAATTTTCATCTTTATCTAATACAATTGTGGTGGCAATTTTTTCCCGAAATCTTTGTGTAGGGCGACGTAGTTTATGCTCAAACTTGGGGAGGAATTGACCCTGAAAAACTGTATCGAGTCACCTTAATTGTGGATGTAGACGACCAAATGTGATTGTAACCTGTTTCTCTATTTCACTCCACAAAACATGACAAGCTCCAATCAAATCCCGGCAAGCCTAAATTTTTCAGGCTTTCTTTACGCAAAGTCTGGTTTTTCACTGCGATAATCATGTTCTCTCTTTTCATTTGTTTTTTAATTCCGCGGTGTAAAATGTTGTAAAACAAAGCGAAGCTTATGGAATTGCAGTTGCACCTCCATTAAGCGGTCATCCTCGGGGTACCGGCATGTGGCCGAAAAATTAAAGTTTGGCCGCTCAATAGAAGTTCGTTAACCTTTAGAAGAAAGATCACTTTATTTTGAAACAAACAAGTGGGTGACTGGGAACAGAATTGGCCCACAATCAGTCGTCACCCTCTATCTCGGATTATACTTTCTTTCATTCTTAACAGAAAGGCAAAGTAAGTGTATCAAGCGCATGGTGCTGGTTGCTTAATGGAGGTGACAACAATTGGGTAACTCTCGGTTCACTGAGCAAAGGGGTAATGTTTTAAGAAGGCTCACCCCTAGATGACTGTTTTGCAGCACTTGAAGAGGCGAGTGTATCGATTGACTGATTCATCTCTTCCAGTTGATGTTTAATTTCTTTTGCTTCCTGACAAACTGTTGCCTCCATCAAATCTGTTCCTTCATGAACTGCTGTCTGAGTGTAAAATTCAAAGTGTCGTAAGTCACCATATCTGGGACAAAAAAGCAGTTGCTTTATATTGCACTAAATCAGTAAACTTAAGAATAACCCAGTAACTCCTTGACTATCAAAAAGCCTGAATCTATTAAATTTGGAAGCTTTAAAGTTCTCTCTACAACTGTTTGCTTTTAACCCTACCTCCAAACGACTTATCCGTTCACTGACTTCATCTATGGATTTCTTGATCTCCATATCACTTTTATACCATGACTTAAGTTCGTGCACATTTCGTTCATCTTCAGTTGTTAGAGGATCTGTCAAATATTTATCAATGGCTCCTTGCCATGCAGTTTTCCTTGTAGAACTGATCTGCCCAGCAATCCTCATGAGAGCTTCACTAATTTCTTGCCAAAGTGTTAAAAACTCGTTATCTAGGATTGCCATGCCTTGGTTCACGTGACCATAGACCGTGTTTCGGTAATACTTTATTCTTGCTATATCAGCTGTTAAACTGATATCTGCAGTAGCTGGTAGTGCATCCCATCCTGTGGAGGGAGGGGTGAGGTTGCATATTGTCCTCAGCAAACGGAATAGCAGAGTGACATCAAAATCTGCTGACTTGCCGTACACCCCTGGGGAAGGACAAAGACAGTGCCACTGTGGCATCGTTAGTTTTGCAGCTTTGAGCTGGTTCTTTGTTACTGGATTACTGAGAATCGTAGGAAGATTACTTGGAGGACANTGGTTGCTTAATGGAGGTGACAACAATTGGGTAACTCTCGGTTCACTGAGCAAAGGGGTAATGTTTTAAGAAGGCTCACCCCTAGATGACTGTTTTGCAGCACTTGAAGAGGCGAGTGTATCGATTGACTGATTCATCTCTTCCAGTTGATGTTTAATTTCTTTTGCTTCCTGACAAACTGTTGCCTCCATCAAATCTGTTCCTTCATGAACTGCTGTCTGAGTGTAAAATTCAAAGTGTCGTAAGTCACCATATCTGGGACAAAAAAGCAGTTGCTTTATATTGCACTAAATCAGTAAACTTAAGAATAACCCAGTAACTCCTTGACTATCAAAAAGCCTGAATCTATTAAATTTGGAAGCTTTAAAGTTCTCTCTACAACTGTTTGCTTTTAACCCTACCTCCAAACGACTTATCCGTTCACTGACTTCATCTATGGATTTCTTGATCTCCATATCACTTTTATACCATGACTTAAGTTCGTGCACATTTCGTTCATCTTCAGTTGTTAGAGGATCTGTCAAATATTTATCAATGGCTCCTTGCCATGCAGTTTTCCTTGTAGAACTGATCTGCCCAGCAATCCTCATGAGAGCTTCACTAATTTCTTGCCAAAGTGTTAAAAACTCGTTATCTAGGATTGCCATGCCTTGGTTCACGTGACCATAGACCGAGTTTCGGTAATACTTTATTCTTGCTATATCAGCTGTTAAACTGATATCTGCAGTAGCTGGTAGTGCATCCCATCCTGTGGAGGGAGGGGTGAGGTTGCATATTGTCCTCAGCAAACGGAATAGCAGAGTGACATCAAAATCTGCTGACTTGCCGTACACCCCTGGGGAAGGACAAAGACAGTGCCACTGTGGCATCGTTAGTTTTGCAGCTTTGAGCTGGTTCTTTGTTACTGGATTACTGAGAATCGTAGGAAGATTACTTGGAGGACATATGGAGTCAAAAGTTTCCCTCAGTAGGGTTGTCCCTCCACTTATTAAAAGTCGTGTAATGCGCTGGAAATTATCTTTTCCTCTCGTTGAAAGAAGGATCTCCTCTGGATCTGGAGCGGCCGCCATGTTTTTCTCTCAGACTTTACAACTGGTCATGTGTACTAGCAAATGAAATGCAAACATAATTGAAATATTTGCTGAAATAATTAGCTTGTAGGTTTTTAACACTTAAAACGTCAGTCTCTACAGGTTATAAAACCATGCAAATTATTTTTTTCTATTTTTTGAGTAGCCACATTTATTCAAAAATCCCGTTTGATAACTCTACAAGCCTAAGACCAGGGTCGGCCATGGGGGTTAGTGGTATACCAGTATACCCGAAAAAAATTCGCCAAAATACCCAAAAATACCCAAAATTCATCCAAATATACCCAAAATTATACCCAGCTATACTTTATACCTGAAATTCAAAGAAAGTGATATACCAAATACCCGTATTTAAGCTGCAATATACAGTACGGTATACCCGATTTAAAAAGCCCCTGTATACCGTGAACCCAAAAACCCTGGCCGACCCTGTAAGACAGCAAGGTTATACTCTAGGATCTGACCTACGCTTTTAAATTTTGTTCTTTTGTTTCGACTCAACGAGTCAGGGAAAGCACCCCTGTTTATCAAACCTCTTAGTTTTCTTTACATTTAAACTGAGCGGGAAGTCCGTATTACCGTAGAGGTCACAGCCCTCCACGTAGACGCTCTTGGGATTCGTCGCGTCCTTTTTTTCCCGCTAATGTCTGGACGAGAGATTGCGTGACGAAACTAAAGAAAGTTTCCATCGGTTCTATTTTTTAAGAGAGACCTGAAAAAGCTCTAGATGTTCTAAAAAAGGCAAGGGCTGTTTTTATCGTAGTTTGCGTTTGATGCCTGGCTCGTGGTGGTTTCTTATAGCCTGTGTTTTATATACTAAGTATGCAGTCCGCTATTTTGACCTTACTCAAATTACGGGAATGGATGCAAATCTGATAGAATGTCACACCCATTCGAATCAAGTATATTATTCTTCCAAGACCCTTACGACCTGATACAATTATGAATAAATATAAAAGACTACAGTATCCGGAGTTGGCCGATTTAATCCTCTGTACTCGCTATTTTACTGATCCAAGCCACGAAATCAACTGGCAAGCGATGCGAAGCTAACGTGACGAGTCGATATTTCGCGTTCAAAAGCTAAGCATTATTAACATTTATTGGAGACTTTTAAAAGTCGTCTGGAAAGCGTCTCTGTTGGCGAACATTTAATTTCAAGGAAAATTCACTTTAACTAGCCAGTTAAAGTTGGTTGGTTCAGCTATCCGACTGAAAGAATGTAATTGAAATGGCAATATACTGTGCAATAGATGTTAAGCTTCACTCACAGATCTTCTTTTACTTAAATTAAACATTCATACTTCTGTGGGGCATTATTATGCCAATCGAGAGAAGAACTACATGTAGTTGAACCGCGAATAACCGTGAATAAATGGTAGGCGATTTATAATACGCTGGAACTCCTTTGATTTTTTAATACATGTAACAGTCGGTTGAAATGCAAACTAATGCCGAGAAGCAAATTGTGACGGTTCAAATACTAAAAAGAAGCTCAACTGATAATCAAAATATCCGGCAAGAAAAGCATAAAATTAAAATGACAACAGACTAAAACTTCTTACCGTCTGTATCATGCCTGCATCCGTAAATATTCTAAAGAAGCGACCAAAAGCGGAAGTGCGTGTGGGATCGAAGCCGCGTAAGTAATCTCGGCTTGGTGCCAGGTAGGGGAAGGAACGCGTGACGCACCCCTAAGAAATGTCTGCAGGGGAGGCTAGGTGCCAGGCTACTCTCCTTACAATGGAAACTCAGGGTGGGTGGTTTGAGTACGAGATTTAGAAACGAGCTTTTGAAGGTTATACTACATTTACGGAAGGCCAATGCCAAATACCTGATTTGCAAACGTTAGAAAAAAATGTTGTTTGAAGTAAAAACTTAATAATGATAATAATTTAATTCTTATATTGCGCGCTTTCCATGAAATGATCAAGCGCGCCTTACATGATTTCTATCTATAATAATTTGATACAGGGTATCTAACTACTAATTATTTAAAATATACTATGAAAAAATTAAAATATACAACATATGTTAAGATACTAGTAATTAGCGTGATAAAAATTAAAAATTAATAAATTAATGAAAAGGAATCAGGAAGAAGATATAGACCTGGCTCCAGTTGTTCAAACGTTGGATTTCACTATCCAGCGGATAAATCACTATCAAGCGGATAAGTGTTAGGGAAACCAATTGCGCTATCCACTGGATAGAGATTTATCCATTCAGTGGATAGCGTTATCCGGCCAGCTTTTGAAAAACTGGGGTCTGTTGTGAAAATTCCCCTCGCACTCTCTTTTAACCTTAAAAACTGTTCCCTATGGGAAATTGAAAACATGAATTGTTTCTCTGTGGACAACTTTTCTCTGTGGGATTACTTAAAAACAATAAATTTCTTAACTAAACATATTGTCCTTAAGCAGTTTATAACTCACACGCAGTCTGAGCTAGCTCACTTGTTTGATTAAACCTAAGGCATACTCTCTGTCTCTTTTTTTCGTTTAGCGTCGTCCAACCGACCCAAATTTTCTTGGCATTTTCCAAAAAAAAAAGTAACGAGGTAGTTAAACCATTTTTTACTTTTAAATAATTCTTTTAATCAGAAAAATGAGCATGGTAACAGCCTTGAGAAAAACAAGGACAAGACAGGGACATTTTTTACAGTATATTGTCGCACAGGAGTCTCGTAGGTTGATCCTATTTTCCCACGTTGTCTTAATTTTACATAACCAACTTTTCCACCATATTGATTTTGGGTTCATGTCTTCTTGTTTCCAGGCTCCAAAGAAATAATGCTGCGGCACCAGGCCTCCTCTTGTGAGACTTCTTGTGATTTGCTTTTTTTTTTTTCAATTCGACTTACCTACCCCGTCAGGAACGCATTCGACGTTAAACGAAAAAAAAGGGGTGGCCTAATCCCAAACCACAGACTTGGAGATCAAAACTTTCCAGGAAAAAACAGGGCCAGGGTCTTACAGTTCCAATGACCCACGTTCGTCAAATATTCTCAGTGGCAGGGAAGCGACTAGGGGAGCCTTGCTACCCACTCTCCCTCCACCTACTACTCAGAAAATAACTGTCGAGGAGTGAAGGTGAGTATACACAATGATGATTGTACTTGAAACGGCCATTGAAATCTTGAAAGTGCGTTTACACTGGCCATTTCTCGTGCGATTTGTTCTGCGATTTTCTGCCCGTGTAAAACAAGACGTTCTTAAAAAGCGTTCAAGTTTTAAGTTTCAAGTTTATTTCAGTATTTTTAACAGAAAATTTACAAAACTGCTCTCGACCCGCAAAATAGTAGGGCTAATCTAGACGTGTAGAGTAAAACAGATAGTTTTAACCCCTTAAACCCTAAGTGATCAGCATCAAATTTCTCCAAGTAAAGTCAATGCTTTGTAAAATAGAGTGGTCATGAGAATTTTAAAGGACATAATCACACAAGATGTATTTGCTTGATGTTTTATCAACTTCTCCCCACTACTAGAGTAAATGAATAAGGGTTACAAATCAGATGAGAATTTTAATTTTGATCTTAGGGTTTAAAGGGTTAATACATTGAAAGAGTGCTTGAAAACTCTTGGTAGATTTTTTTTTTGCTTTTGCTTCAGTAAGATGAAACAATAAAACTTAGGTCAAGGCTTGGGTAGATAGTATCGGACCTGGTATCGTGCAAATCACTACATTTGGTTAACTCAAGCCACGAGATGGTGCCTTTAATTTGTTTACAGAATGAGAGAAGGCCTGTGTTCTGTTTCAATTTAAAGCTGCTTCGTAAGTGAAACCCATTCGCACCAGGGAAGTTTGCTCCAAAAACGCATTTGAAAGCTAGACGAACCATTTTACAGAGCCAAAATGATCAAAACGCCGTTTATAGGTCGAGCACTTTACGACCTTCTAGTACCTTCTGTTCCAGATGCCAAATATCAGCCTCCCCAGTTTGAACATGCGCAGAAAGCAAACTTTCGTGACTATTAATAACCTTTCGCTTTCTCTCTTCCATCTGTTTCGTTTTCCTCGCCCCTTGCTTTTTCTTTCGCTAGACATCTACTATGCTTCATTTCGGTGGGAAAAGTTTTTGGGAAAGCTTTTAGGATCGTAGACCGGATTAAATGGAAGGAATTAAGTGCAGGTGGGTAGTGGAACAAGATTTTCTTCGGAATTCTTCGGGTCGTCTGCCTTCTTGACTGAATCATGCATGACTATTAGTACACGGTTTGAAAGATCTCTTCCGCCTGTACAAGTTCGATGACAAAGTTGTTCCTGAGCTTTATAAATAATGAGCGTCACAAGCGGTAGAAGGGACGTTGATTAGGCGATAAGCATGGGCGCTTACGGGCGGTTCGTGGCCGAAATTGGTCAAGGGCTCCTCCATTATTTTTGTCGAAGTCAGCTCTCAACGTGTTTTTTTTTCTTACACCGTACAATTTAAAGCTTGAAACTTACAAGGTCAGCCGTCAGCCGAAAGACAGCGATCAAATTCTATTTACAATAAAGGCTTTCTAACTTCTCTAAACGTAAAAAACACAGATACAATGTACACATGTAAAAAAGAGAGACATAATTTCAGTATATTCACACAAGTTATAACTAAAACGATGAGAACGAATGTAGTGAAGGCAATGTTCGTATTATCGATTTAATAAAGTAATTTGCTGGCTCTAAAAAATCCGTTCTCAAAATTTATAGGATAAAATATGCCACGCGTACAAGGTTCGAAAGTTGAGCCTCGTTTTTCACGTTTTAACTGCGGCAGGACACGGGTTCGATTCCCGAGGCCAGGTTATTACTAAGGGTCTTAAAAATAGCTGAGAAATGAAGGTACTCCCTTTGCACTGCAAGCGGCGAGAACTTCGCGTGGCTCGGATGACCGCGTAAAATGGCCGTCGCGTAAAAAAAAATGTCCCTTTGCAATTAGAACTTAATTTCGTGCTAAATACATTGACACTCTGGTACGGAGAGCTAGAGTAATCGAGTAA